GCATAGGATTTGATAGTGATAGCACGAACAGTTTCGCTCCTCCCTGTTGTGTTGGCACTGTGTCATGTCTTCAGATCAGGCAGCCAGCATTCTCAAAAAAAAAAAAAAAAGCACTTTGGAATTAAGTTCACACAACGAGCAGCAAGCAAGCAAGCTAAGAAAGCCTTCACTGCTTGGCTTTCCCTAGAAGCAGATGATCTCAACTTAGCCTACATTCAGCATGAGTTGGCCTAACACCAGTTCACCTACGCTCTTCTTTGCAGAACATAGAGAATTGCAGGCAGAGAGCCTTTGCCAAGCTACAAATAGATCACCATACAGAAATCTTGTTTGCCCAGATTGTTAATTAATAGATTCCATAAAGTTGCACAACGATGATGATGATGATGATGATTTGGATCCTACACATTAATACAGCCCCATTCCTGGACTGGATTCTTCTATACTGAAACTCATATGGAGCTGGACATTTTAAGATCCTGCCTGTCCAGAACCCCAGCCTGATTGCTACCCCAGATTTTCTGGATTTTCCTTCCCATGAAGAACTTCATAATCACCACCTTCTCTTCTCTTCTCTTCTCTTCTCCCCTCCCTTTCTGCCTCTGCAGCTCTACCCAGACACCTTCTGCCTTACCTTCTGGACCATTTGGCTGACGGTCTCCCAAACGGTCTCTTCCAGAGCACTCCATACAGCTGCACTTTGGTGCGGATATCCAAGGCACCCAAATCTGTCTGATCCATGGAGGGGGAAGGAGAGACCGAGTTGGATTTTGAAGCAAACATTATTAAGAGGCAGACTTTAAAAAAAAAAAAAAACTAATTCTCTGCTTCGACTCTGTAGCTGTAGGAATCTGATTAAATGCAACGAAGCAGAAAGGCGTAACTGCTTACTTGGGGAGAGAGGGGGAGAGAGTGACGCTTAGCTCTGAATCAATAACTCTGCTGCCAGTGCTCGATATTTGTCTCCCCTGATGCAGAGGTGATGTGAGCTTCCTCGTTTCATTTCACTTCCTGATGCCCTGAACAGAGAGGGAACATTCCAGACAAGCAGGGAGGGAAAAAAAACAAAACATTTTTCATGAAGTAGATGGAGCCCTCAAGGTAACAAGCCAAGGCAGTTTCTGTGACAATGGAGCATTCACAAAGTATAGCTGAAATGGCTCTTATTTCTTTCATACATAGTCAGTTTAGTTTGATGGTTAACGTTTAGGGCTAAGATCTGGGTTCAAATCCTCAATCCATTCACTGGGTAATTCTTGTGCTGAGAGGCAGTAACAACCAACCCAATCTACCTTGTCAGGTTGTTGTAAAGATAAAATGGGAGGAGAATCCAAGAAGGGACCTTGTGCAGCTTGAAAAAAAATGGGATAGTTATGAAATAAAGGATTGCTTTAATGAATAAGCTGGATCGGACTAACCACCTCCAAGCTCAGTGAAGATTGCATTTCTGTTGAAACATTGAGCATTCACATATGTTTGAGCATGAATCCTACTAGCCAAGTTTCCGTTCAGATGTGAGATTTAAAGTTGATTCTAAGTTGTGAACCAAGATATTTTTATTTTTATTTTTTAATTTTCTCTGAGGTAAGAAAAAAACAGAATCTATAATAAGAGCTCAGAACAATACATCTCAATATTCATTCACATTCACAGCCTACATATAACTTGTGATCCAAGATTTGAAGACAAGATTCAGTTCAAACAAGTCAGAGATGGTTTGAAAAGATTTGTTGAGAAGCTGTCATGGGAGGCAATTTTTGGCAGAACAGGAACAGTCTGGTTTTCAGAGCACATTAACTTTGTGAAATTTCAGCCAGAGAGATTATTATTATTATTATTATTATTATTATTATTATTATTATTATTATTATTATTATTATTATTATTATTATTATTATTATTATTATTATTTAAAAAAAAGAAAAATGCACCTGCACTCTTTTAAAGCAGAAATAGAGGAGACAGAGAAAGGAAATAAAGCAAACGTTGTTTTATTAAAGCTTAACAATAAAATGTTCAGAAACTGTTTAAAAAGTAAGCTCTTACTAAACTGATTACCAGCTTTTCTGGGCAGTTACAATGGCTGATTGACATGAAATGATTTGTGCAAACAATGCACAGTATATAATAATATCCCATGATATAAATAGAAATATGTATTATACGCAATAACTTAACCTCAAACCACAGTAGGTGAAACCTACTTACAATGCAAATACATTTGACCTTTTTGTCTCAAAACAAACTGCCTTAACAAATTTTAGCAGAGGTGCAAGACATATTCGGCAGTGCAGCAATAGCAACAGGACAGTTAAAAAGCAAGCTTTCTTCCGTGCATTCCTTTTCAACCTGTGTGGAATATTGGGAACTGTCCCATACATTATGAGTTGTGGTCATGGAGATATTTAGAGGTTCTTCTGCCTGATTTCATCTCAACAAAGGATCCTGGCAGGGCTTCTTGGATATTGATGGCTGTAGATGTTGGAAGCGGCACTTCTGTTTTTAAGTATTGCAGTGTGGGAGATGACGTTTATGGAATGGTTAACCCTTGCTTGCCTAAAATTTCAGATAGGATTACCATTTTGTAATTTTTCAACTTAAGTTCCTAAAAAAGTTTCTTAAAAACATATGGGTTAGATATGAACATTAGTTTGCCCTCCAGATTTCACCTTTTTTAAACTGAAGCTCTATGACTAACTTAAGTTATTCAAAGTTTAATGGAGGTCAGAAAAAAAAAATCAAACCTGTAGAATAGAATATGGAAAACTCAGGTTATCAAAGAAGATATATAGGTAGTCCAGAACTATAAAGAGCTATCAGGAAAATTAAAAATCAGAATTAACTGATTTTAGTAAAGAATAGCAAAGGCTTCTTGATATTTCCAGAAATAAAACAAAAAGAGACAGTCTACCAGTTATTCAGTGGAAATTTCAAAATACTACCACATAATTTGCAATCACTGCAAATGAGTCCAATTTTGACTCAATTTTTTGACTCTGCATCTTTTGATATCAATTTATAGAAAACAAACTTAAACTCTTTAATTCGAAACAAATTGGTATATCTTATTTTGATTACCTGCCATGACAAATTTTGAAAATTCATATGTAACATATAGCAGAAATAAGATGTCCTCAAATTCCCCTTGAAATTTTTCAATTTGTAATTTCCTGTTATCTTCCTCTCCAACTCCCACCAAAATCATGGGAGGCCAGTACCTTACGGCAGAGATGGGGGGGAAAGTGCTGTACACAATTGTTTTGTTAAGATTGTGGTCTGTACTTCGAAAGGTCAACTAGAGATAGATAAACTACCTGGTCACTTTTGCACATATTTATTTACAAGCCTCTCTCTCCAACCTCTGTACTTACCCACAATTTGTATTTTTACAGAGATGCCCAAAACCTGGCAGTGGAATAACTTTTTCATAAAAAAGACTTGATAGCAAGTTCTATAAGCAGGATTCTATCTGTTGAAAGTTTGAGAAGCACAAGTAGCTTGTTAGAGAAAATACATTAAAAATAATTTCTGATTAGCCTTTTTCTATCCAGCTGGATAGGTATTTGAGTAAATTTCCAAGATATTCCAGTTCCATTTAAACAAACTTAAGTTTGGATTTTTTTTTAAAAAAAATACGTTTTCCTTATAAATGTTTGGAGTTAACAGTATGTGGTACATTTGTGGCTATTTATGCATTGACATGGCTGCCGAAATCAAACCAGGTGACTCTGGGTAGTGGACAAAAAGAAGCCCATAATACAAAACAACAAATTAAAACATACTAAACAATGACAGGACAAAGAGAACTGAAAACCCTTCTCTTACCATCATGGACTCAATTCAACCTGATCCCAGGGCTGAGAGAAAAGCCAGGTCTTGACTGCTTTCCCCCCCCTAAAGGCATGAATGGTTGGGGCCAACTTTATATCTAAGAAAAGATCATTCCAAATGGCAGGGTACATCACAGAAAAGGCACACCTCCTGGGTCTCATAATATGACAATGTCAAAGAAAGGACTAAGAGTTTCTTGCCTTCTCCTTCAGAATGTATGGGGATGGGCAAACATACCCTCAGGAGCAGTTGGTCCAACAGGCAACACAGTTCTGTCAGCTAGGATATCACCAGCACTTTGAATTGCACCTAGCCGTAGCTTACAGAAGGGAGTTATCATGCCAGCATAATAAATATCCACAATTAGCTACACTGCTAATTATGGATATTTATTATGCTGGCATGATAACTCATGATAACTATGGTCCAACTGAAGTTTCCAATGGTATTCAAGAGTATGTAAATCAACAAGTTTTGAAAATAAAAAAAATATTTAAGTAAGTACATTTAATACTTTGGTGTGTTACATTTGGATGCACCGGGATGGGGGGTGGGGATGGACAAAGTATGCTGATTTATTATGCTTTTCACTGGGTTCTTCTAAAATTGCTTTATCTAATCCGTTTCTGGAAGTGAGTAAGGAAATAAAAAGGACAGAAAGCAAAGTATAAACCATTTCCCCTTGAAGAATCTACGTATTGCTTTTTTGTCACCATTAAAAATAAGACAACTTATTTCAACAATGCAGCAAATAATTTTTAATATAATAAAAACATATTTAAACAGTTCACAATTAAAGTGAAAAAAATTAAAAATAAGGCAGCCATCCATGGAATGATCTCATGTGTACAAATGATTTAGAAAAGACATTAAAATTACACTTTAGTATAAGGAATCAGGTATACAGCTATGACCAGGGAACACTGCCCATAAAATCATAGCTGGTTAGGGACATAACAGAAACATGTAAAAATTCGTATCTTTTTGAAATGGATATTCTCCTTCAAATGCTGCAGCAAGGGCTTCCCATGTTCCAAGTTACCTATGGTTCATCATAAACAGCACAGCAGCACAATTTATTGTTCAAGTTTTCCCATTCCGGTACAGCTGGATATTAAAAATTATTTTCACTTAGGATACTGGAAAATCACTTTTGAGCTTCTCTTTTCCATTGTTTCAGAAATTCCAAGACATTTCCTTTCAATTGAAGATACTGCATTTCCTTGGTATATCTGTCAAATATTTTAAACTTACATTTCTCCAGCATAGGCCAAAGATTGTTTTATGAATAATGGCAATTAGGTGACTGAATATAATGTTGCATACAGACACAATTCATAGTAAAACATTTCCACTTTTAACTCAGTCTCCAACTGATGTGACTTTTGGAAGCGTTGGCATTTGTAAGAATGTATTAATGATGTATCTCTATTTAGTAATCCATGGCTTTCAGGTTTACTGGGAAGTTCAGAGTACAATTTGGATGTGATTAGTAATAAGAGTCAAGAAGAGTAGAATTAGACGACAAAAAGCAATGATTTTACATTGATTTTTAAAATCTGGGCAATCCAGATTTCTCAAATGGAGCTTCTCAGTATTACAAGAGATCAAATTTCTGGAATTGTGCTACATAATTTTTTTTTATTCATAAGAAATTCCCTTCTCATATCTCACCACTGCTACAACACTAGTTAGCAATTAAATACTGGCAAAGTATTCAAGGCACCTTTGCTCCCACACAGGAGCAAATCAGCCCCACAAGCATTCCCTGTACTTATGATTCCCTGTGCCTTGTGATGTTTATTGTGCAATAAACATCACACATGAAGCCATTGCCTTAGAAATAATAATTTAGTTCTACATATCGAGCACAAGTCCAGTGTAGTGAAATAGGAAAGATAGAACTAACAGACTTGCTTTCACAAATTCATAAGTAAGAACTTAAAGCTGAGTCTGGCTTAAAACAGAATTCCTGAAGTTCTCTGTTACATACAATGATCAAATAATTTTTTTTAAAAAAAATACAATTTCAACTCAAAATTTTATCCCAGAATCCCTATTCTTTTTCCAAATATTTCTATATTAATGACATTTCAATCAAGTTTGGTGACTTGACATTTTGCCATTATTTCCCAACTTTCTAGTTGGAAGAATAGACATTCTTGTCATTTTCCCCAGCAATGGTAATTTGGCATTTTATGACTTTTATTTTCAGTCATTAAGTGTGCAAACGTGACAGACACATTAACCACCTCAATTCATGAATATCTGGGGGTTTTGTCCCATGGTTTGACAAATGTGTTTCTATTTTCTCTTCTAGCACAGAAGAGAAGAAAATTCTAAAACTGTAATATTTGAAATGCTTTCTTAGAGATCAAGTACAACTGGCAGGTCCATTTGCGATGCACTAGGCAATTGATAGCACCATTTTATGATGCTTGGTCCACACTAGTACAGACGATTTATCCCAGTTATTGATGATATAAATGTACGCAGCTGATAAAACACATATTGGAAAGAATAGCAGTCAATAGGTCTGTTGAGTATCAGCTTTAAAAAAACCTTTAGAAAAAGTCATGTTTATATTATTTAATGTTAAGTCCTTTCTGGTTCTGACATTATGCCCTCCCCCCATCATAAAAGGCAAGATTTTTTTTAATGAAAAACTGATATTGTCTATTGACGCACAACCAATAGTCACTCAATAAGTAGGAACTGCCAGTTAAAGCATAACCATTCTGAACAACCTTAACATCCACTGTCAAGGAAATATAATATGTGAGCAAGGCAGGCATGGAAAAGAAGTTTCATTAATTACTGGACTGTAAATATTTACTGAGGAAAGGAACAGATTTACCTCATGGAGAAACCAGTCCAGTAAAAACCATTTCACTCAAACACTACTTCATCTTGTTTATAAATAAAATTTTAACTATTAATGACTTTGACAATATGATTGAAAATTTAAAGTATATATAAAACTGTGCACCAGTAATCAACATATATTTTCACCATTTAATTTTTTTAAGACAATGGCTTTGACAGTTTTTTTGTAATAATTACAGTTACCTTTTTGAACCACCACGATGTGTAGAATTGTGTTCTAGAGGTGTATTGATACTCAGTTTTAACAGACTTCAGACATTTAATTCAATACAAGCTCACAACCTGGAATGATTTTTGGTAGTAATATCAGAAAGTATTAGTTTTGCTTTTGATGTTGATGTCTGATGAACAGGGCTTACCTTATTCTACTTGAAAAGCAATATTTTGTAAATAAACTAGCATTCATTTGAATAAAAATAATATTTCTTAGAGCTCAGAATAATCTAACCTTCTGCTAAATGTGGCTCTCTTCTGTACTGTCTAGCCTGTTAAAATCAAGGAACAAATGTGCTTTCATAATAATTCAATGCAAGAATCCTAGTAAACTTCTTTAATACAAATTTTGCCTACAACTTCATCCTCACAAATATTCTTCACCAGATGCCTCCTTCTAAGTCAGCCCATGCCATTATTAATGCATGAACATTTGGAAGATGTGAACAATCTTCCTGCATATTAGAAGATAGCATCATACTGTCAAGAGATCAGGCTCTGAATGCTGACATACAGAATATTTGGATTATGATTTCATGATGAATTGCAAGGATCTTCCCAGATAATATCCAAGGTCCAGCTTCCCTGAGAATAGGTAGGAAGTCATAATTAAAATATCTTTAGAAAAGAGAAATTATGCAGGATTTATAACTAGCTGTTGAAGAGTACTCTCTCTCTCTCTCTCTCTCTCTCATATTGAGTTTTCCCACAGTTTTCTTGTTGAAATGATGATCCTCTCCAACTCCTTAACATACATGGGGTGGTTAACAGGGTAAGAGAGACAGCAATACAAAAAGCAACTGACCGCTGCTTATATCAGATTGAGGGGAGAGGAAATGCTGGTCTTCCAAGTTTTAATGTTGGTGTCCAATAGATAAAATCAGAGGAATCAAACAACCCAGAACCAACGCAGCCACCTCCAGGCGACTGAGTCCCTTGCCTCCAGCAGATTCAGGTTTATGGCTGTGTCCCATTCCACCCACTTCGGGGAGAACATGAACTGTGGCAACGTACAGGAAAGTCCCAGCAGAGAACAACATGGCAACTCCAGTGGCATTGACTTCTGAAAGTGCCTGTTTACTGCTCTGTAAAATAAAAAAGGCAAAATGCTGATAAAATATAAAGTTCATCCTTCCTTAAATTGTTCTTCAATGGCTATTCTACTGAAATTTCAAAAAAACATCTTTAGAAAGCATTATACCTCACCTCAAAGAAAAC